GGTTGATCGTGTTGATCGCGTTCTGGACCTTCCACAGGTGCTCTGCGGAGACGTTCTGGCCGATCCCACCGAACTCGCCCTGGATGGCGATGCGCGTGGGGTCGTAGGGCGTCGATAGAGTGGAGTAGAACGGTGTCCCACACTGCGGGTTGGCGTAGTGGTGATTGTCGTGCCAGTCGCCGTAGCCGTGATCGTTCCAGCCGGACGTCGAATCGACCAGTCTGGTCGGATCAAGCTGCCTGATGCGCTCCGTCAGATGTGCTTCGGGATTGTAGTTCCTGAGCTGACCCCAGCCCTCGTTATAAATGATCTACTACGCTGTTAGCACACCCAATTATTGTTCAGGGTGAGGTGGCTTTGTACCCAGGTGTAAATACTAGGATAGTTCCTGTGCTGCTGGATCAAGATATCAAGCTGACGTTCCCACTCTTTCTGCTGCTCAGCATTGGGCGGCCGACCAGAATCCGCGATCATCGATGGCATATCTTGAATCAGCAGCACGCCAAGCTCGTCGCAGGCACGGTAAAACAGATCGTTCTCAACCTTGATATGCTTCCGAAGCATGTTGAAGCCGAGAGCCTTCAATTGTTTGAGGTCGAACACCATGGCATCATGATTTGGCGGTACGTGAATACCGTCAGGCCAAAATCCCTGGTCGAGGGTGCCGAACTGAAAGACAAACTCGCCGTTGATCAACGGGCGCTTGATGCCATCAATCTCCCCGCTAGCGATTGTGCGGAACCCCGTGTATGAGGTGACCTCATCATCCCCCACAGTGACGGTGAGGTTGTAACTACATCAAAGTGAGCGGGCTACACGGATACTAAGGTGGAATAGAAAGGGTTCGTACAGCGTGGGGCTATCTGGCGACCACAACTCTGGCGAGGCCACCTTGAACTGAAAGGGCTTGTTGGCTCTGCCTCTTCCAGTGGCAACATCCTTTCCGCTATCATCTATGACGGTGACACGAACAGGGTCGTTAGACCCTTTGCTGGTGGTGACCGTTACGTCGACTATGAACCTTTATCAGTGGGGGGCCAGCTGCAATAATAGTGGCGTTCGGTCAACTTACCAGTACCGTGCATGTCAGCAGCAACGTCAAGTTGAGTAATGTGTTGGACGGGCACAGACTCCAACCACACCTACGCTAGATTAGCCTCGGGTTTGACAATGATAAAACGCCCATCGTTGGCGTCTATGAAGTAGCTAGAAGATTCACATACGCTTTGCCAGATACCTGAACAGGGAGTGTAGAAAATATGAGAAGGATTCAGAGTCTGCTTTCCAATAGGAATATTGTATCCTAGTCAACAGCGTTAGTAGGGCTGTATTGTTGGCAATACTCAACATGGGGCACTTACCGGGAGCATCGGTAGGGTCAAAAACCTCGACTCGTAGCGTGTTGGTTCCATCTTCAAGGAGGTTGGTGATATCGAACGAGAACCTCCAGTATCCGCCGGTATGCTTTCCTGCGAACCTGTCGTTCACGTATACAGTAGCCTGGTAGTCAACAGCCTCAAAGTTGATGAGGATCTGACGGCCACGGCCCTTCAAGTTACGAGACACCTCGAATTCACGCTCAAACCAAGAGGTTTGGGCGTTCTTCATTACTCCCGAGAGAGCGCTCTATTGAGTAGAAGAGGGTCAACCAATGCTGCGCAAGGCACAGATACGAGAGAAACCTGCGGTAGGAAAGGGAGCAGGTATTAAGACAGCCTGCAGCTTTCAAATTTTGGTTCGGGGAAGATTGAAACAATTGGAATCTTACCTCGATGCAAGAAGGTACAAGAACATCAACGCCATCGGGGGAACCAGTGTCTGATGTGCCTTCCCCCCATTCCCATATCCCGTTCAAGCTTTGCCAGCGAGATCTCTGGAGTTGCGGCCGGGGATACTCTGGCCATGGATCAGTTCCAACCTTATACGTCCAGTCCGTATCCAATGGCGGCGTCTTTGTTATTAGTTAGCATTGTGAGGCCATCTTGTGGGGATCGTGACAATGCTGACCTTGACTTTATACCCCAGAGCTGATGAGGCAAGGGCTATTATCCCTAATATACTGGTCCTCATCTTGACTGGATCCGATAAGCAGAACTACGTCGAGACAAAGACAAGAATCCTAGCGGAATGAGAGGGCCCGGGATCATCTACCTTCACTCAGGATCGACGCTCCAGAAACTGATAGACAGTCATCTCGCATAGACGCAGTCCGCATACGGTCCCATGGCTACTTATACACAGACGATGGGTTGGAATGTGGGTTTCTTCTTCATTCCTAGAATCACGATCCATAACTACTCCGCATCTGATGCTTGATTGCTGCCCGTCACCTTCCTTTTCCTGACAGTAGATGGATCGATCTGCTTGCTCCTAGAACCCCATACATCACATCATGACGCTTGGCAACGTGCCCAAGTGACGAAGATGCAGCGTTTGGCAGTACGATACGCCAACGCGCCCACTGCAAACTACGGGGGTGTAATGGGTACAAACAACCTTGCCATGGGATACAGGCGAGATCTTCGACCTTGAGTGGGCTGAAATGTACCGTTCCATGGCTTCTGCAGAGCCAAGTACCCTGGGAAATGGAGCAGGCGGAGACAGATGAGGCACAGCTGGGTCTAACATCGTGAGATCGAGAACGGAAATGACCGTTGGCCTGGGGCACAAGTTGCGGTCAGCAGAGCACCGCACGGCATATGCTGGTAGGGGACCTATCGGAATCGAAGACATAGCTCGTCATGCCCCTCAAGCCTAAGTCGCCCAGAACCTTGGCTAGGGCGGATATGATGTGCAGTCCCGAGAACTCGGATGGGTCTTAGATGGATAGGTAATCAGGGGAGGGTCATCTACATAATCACTTCACAGCAGTCGACTCGTCTCGTCTAGTGACCACAGGTACAACCCCCGGCCGCCCCAGCTCTATCGCTTGTGGTGGCCAGGTTGATCGAGGTGCCTTTCCCACATGATAGTGAGATTAGGAATATATTGATCGTCGATTTGTCCCTGATCCGTACGCCTGGGACCGGCCGTGCTTGGTGTAAGATTGCTTATTACCCCTCGAAGACAGGAACGTACGTGCGGTGAGCGGGAAAACGGACCGAATCCGACACTGATCTCTGTGCCCGCAGCCGGGACGAAGGAACCGGGTGAGATTGAGCAACGATCTCAGTTCATATGCGGTCATGTACCCGAGTGGGCGTGTGATGCGCAAGATACTAGTAAGGATGAGGTAAGCTGCTCAGGCAGGTATTCGGGAGGCTCATCATGTGGGCTGTCCTTGGCCAGGATCTGGTCACGCCAAGCAAAAAGGTATGCTTGTTGCTGCGCTCACGACGGTTACGGCAGCCTCGGGGGGGCCGGCCAAGGTCAGAACCCAGCATCAGGCCCCAACGCCATGCAATACGGCGACCCGTTCATCTTCTTCATGACGCGTATATGCATGTAACAGCAGGCCCCGTTGTGCTCGCGGGGCTCGAACGTGGATCTCGAACGTGGGTCGAGATCTGGGCTCGAGGCGTCAGACCCCGGGTGTTGGGATGGTGTTATGGGATTCCCGGTGTCGACGATGGGAAAGGGGCGGGCGTACAGGCAGGCTTACTTACAGGCAGGCTGCGGTGAGCCAATGTCCCCCTGTTCCGACAACAGGGTGAGCAAGTCATCCGGACACAAGAGTTTGGGCATTTGCGAGAATGTGACACGTCCTGGCCCATAAAAGCATCGAGGGCTCTCAAGGCACGGGACGCCAAGGCGCTACGGCGAATACAGACATAACAAATGCCGATCACAAGGTCCCGCCGAATGCCTAACGCAACGCAACGCGGGGCCCCGGCTTCGGGGGGTCGGGGTACCGTGCCTTAGGTACTTAGATGAAGAAGTCATCTACGTATCTAGATATTCAGTTGCACATCCACCATGGATTCTAGCGTCTGTCTAGCTGCATTTGAGGCCGGCATCCGTCGATATGCCGGAACCCCCCCAGAGATTCACCTGCCTACTACAGCTGATGGTGAAGCGGCACGGGCTTCCTCCAGAGCCCATCGCAACTCGACTCTTCTAGGTTAGGCAACTCGGTCTGCCAGTAAATACCCCAGTTGCCCATTATCGTTCGCAAATCATTGCTTCGATCTACCTACGTTGGCTGGGAGTTGCAGGCCAGCCATACATATCGGGTGATGAAGTTGAGCGTGGGTTTTGGTGATCTCCCTCAAGTCGAGGTTCTTACTATTCGCCTTCTTACCCGTTCCCAACCCCGAAGCCGAGACATTCTCTAGAGACAATAAGGTAGGTGGATTCATCCTTGGCGACCTAACCACCGGCATTGAAAGAGCATACTTGTAGCTAACACGGCTGTTGGCGCCAACGGGGAGATACTTGGCAACGCCACCGCGATATCCTTGTCGAGCTCGCCAGACGCTAGGTATGCACTGACAACTGATATACCTAGCTACTGTTTTAATTGATGTTGCGGCAGCAAGTGTCGGCTGGTAATGGAGTCGTGTAACTGTTTAATGTACCTATTCTCTGGAAAATTGCGCCGTCTACGGTTATATTGGGAAGTCAAGGCTCATGCCCTGTTACACTAATCGACAGAGGAGAAACAGAAATGTAGGGATCTCGGTTGGGATCGGCGTTGTATAAGTCGATCGAATACCCAGGACATAGACTACACTACTACGCTGACATAATGACGTATAAATGCGTTGCTTAGGCATCGAATAGATCCGGTGGCATAGAATTCACGTAGCAAGGACGCTACGGTACTAGCTACCCGAGTACTTACGTAGCCACTCGGAGCGTCGACATGGGAGGTGGGGGAAGAGGCGAAGGTGGTTATTTTCCTAAGAAAATTATTTTTTTCTCTCTCGTATTTCCCTCTCTTTATTTTGTATCTCAATTGCACAGAAAAATGAGGAAGACGTTGAAGAAGAAGAAGCTAAAAAGAAGCCAAAAAGAATGGTTGTTGCTCCCAGTTTTAACCTGGGAGACATCAGGAATTGAGCCCGATGCGGGGGTCGAACCTGATTTCATTGTTAGAATTTTTAGTTTTTTAATGATACCTAAAGACCAGATGAACTTACCCGCAACCTTGAGATTAAGAGTCTCACGCTCTACCGATTGAGCTAACCGGGCGTTAAGCGGTTCCGAATTGGATGGTTGAATCGTGTGGTATCAGTAGCCATATCGTACCGGGTTGGAAATTTGTGTGGAAAGTGGAGCGGAGCTAGCCGCCCGCCCTATTATGCGATAGGATCTCGCGCAAACTAGATAATAAAAATAACTGATTCGTTTTTTGTCTCCTCTACACTGCTATATTCTGATTTTGCAGTGGTTACGTTACTATCAGCACAATTTAGCGGCCTGGATGGCGGCTCTAACTGTCACTTCGATCGATAGGTAGTTCTTAGCGTGGAGTCTTGAAAAGGTTGTATGTGGGAGTAGAGCTTTAGACGAGGCATCAGACTGCCAAGCATATGGGAGAGCATATGGAAGACTATAAGGGCTCATCGCACACTTCTAACTGTGTCATTACTTTGAGAAAATGCGATCCTCCAATTAATGATAAGAGATAAGGGACCATGAAACCTCCTCCCTCTCTCACACGCGGAATGCCAACCATCAATGACAACTGGTGGCTGAGACGTTGTCTCACCACCACAAACCCAAGGATTCCAATGAAGAAAACTAGTCCGCCCTGCCACCAGCGTAGTCAGCAACCACCCGACATGAAGAACCATTAGATGATGTAAGTGGCCCACATGATATAGATTCAGCGCGTGCCAGTCGCGTAGAGGAGGAGGGTGAAGGAGAGACATTCCCAAAGCGGTTTGAGTGGAGTGGCACTGAGCGACTTCTACTGTATTGCATTGCCGCGGGCTGCAATGCAGGTTCGCGGAGAGACAGAGTGGGCAGGGGGGATCGGAAGGGATGGAATCTCAGGCGCGGTCGAGAGCACGTTGCTATCCGTCGCGCACGAAGCTTCCCCTTGCGAATTGGTAACTTCATGCACTTGCGATATGCACGCGGAAGACGGGACTTGCTCGGCGCGATAATCGAAGTACAGCACTGGTGACCGAGCCTGAAGGTTCCATCACGGACCCCGAAATACTCGATGAAGAGAAGTGGAATCAGCATTCTCATGACAAAACCTTATCGCTGCCATCGTCATTGTCGTCGAGGCTCTCTTCCACGATCATGGCGACGACGCGGTGGCCGGCGAGCCCCCGCCACAGCAACACAATCACAAGTCCCTCTCGACACCCACGGTGTTCTCTCACCAGTCAGCTCGCAATCCTACTATTCAGCATAATCACACCGGTAGCCAGCACGCCGATATCCTATTTCCCCTTAAACTCACAACTTCCACCGGTGGCACGAGTCTCAGAGCCTTTCTCCTTCATCTTTTCGCCCCTGACGTTCTCGTCGGATACGGAGATGAAATATGCGCTGGCCGACGGCTCCCCATCGTGGCTCTCGCTCGATAGCACCGCCAGAAGACTCTCCGGTACCCCCGACGAAGCCTCGGTGCCCTCGGACAAGACTCTAGTTGGGGTTGTAATCACCCTCATAGCGAGTGACGCGACGGGCTCGACGGCCGCAAACGCAACACTGGTAGTGTCGCGTAGTTCGGAGCCGAGCGTACGAATACCTCTCGAGGACCAGATTGATAAATTCGGCCCGTACTCCGCGCCTGCGTCTGTATTGCTACATCCGTCAAGCGAATTCAACTTCGAGTTCGATCCGTATACCTTTGGCGTCGGGGGCGGGAATGGAAACGGCCAAGGCAAGACTCGAGATATAAAAAGAGAGGAGGATAGGAGCATGAGCAAACCCAAGGTGGAACTAAATTACTACGCTGTATCAGGCAACAATGCGCCCCTCCCATCCTGGATTGAATTCGACGCAGAAAAGCTCGCCTTCTCGGGTAAAACACCCTCCATCGAGTCACTTGTGCAAGCGCCCCAGAGATTTGATTTCAAGCTTGTAGCCTCCGACGTCATTGGGTTCTCATCGACTTCTATTGGCTTCTCGATCATGGTTGGTCGTCACGAACTCACTGCCGAAGAGCCCATAATCGAGCTGAACGCTACAAGAGGGAAACGGCTGGAGTATACGAGATTGCCGAATATAATAAAGCTAGACAAGCAGCCGTTAGTGCAAGCAAATGTATCTTCCATCACGGCCGATGGGCTGCCGCCATGGCTCTCGTTTGACGAGAAATCATGGAAGGTCAGCGGGACCCCGGATACAAAAGCACGACCGGCCAACGTCACGATTGCGGTGGTGGATAAGTTCTTTGATATATTGAACGTGACACTAGCAGTGAACTTTCACACGCCAGTGTTCGTCTCCGATGTCCCTGATCTCAATGTGTCAGCAGGTGACGACTTCTCGTTCGATCTCAGCAAGTTCCTACTAGCACCCGCAGATACACAAATAACAGTCGAGACACGCCCCGAGAGCTCTTGGGTCAGGTTCGATGACTCTTCCAAGATTCTCTCTGGGACAGCACCCGATATCCGGACTTCTGACTCCGCAAATGGGATTCGAGTCGCACTCAATTCGACCCAGCGGCGAACGAAAGATAAGGAAGTAAAAAACATGAGCATTCATGTAATCGCAGCGAATAAGCATAGCCAGGCAGGGAACTCTAAGCCGGGTACAAAGGGAGATGACTCACGGAGAGACTTATACTGGCTCCTAGTGATCCCAGTCATGCTCGCTGCGATCACTATCATCCTGGTGATATTCAGAGTGCGAAAACGACGGCACCAGCCAAGGAAGCTTGACTTTTCTGAGGTATCTGGCCCTGTTCCGGGAAGTTTCGTTGCGAATAGCTTCGCGGGCGTCACGTTTGATGCGATACGGAAGACTCTAGATATGGGACCACACGCACCACTTCCACGACAAAACGGCTACGCGCCAACAGTCGATTCCGGCCAAAGGTCGCAGGCGAGTGTGAATCCGACTATAGAGATAGATGATGTTACCCCGCATGCTTTAACACACTCTGAGGCCATCAAACCAGCACACCAAGCCAAGGCTTCTACTGGCAAGAGAGATTCTTGGTTAACCACCCGACAAGGTCGACCATCCCCGGCAGGCTCTGACGAAATTAGTTTGCTCTCGGATGAAACATTCAGAGCGGAAGTGCACACTGCCCAGGAAGTCCGGTCTTCGAGGACACAAAAGCCGGGAGAAATTTTCTATGGAAAGAAAACTGCTCCAGACGCCCCGGCGACGGCCGAACCGTTCAGTATACAGCCGACACCGGAGCTTGCCTACACGGCAGCTAAAAGATATGACTTTGTCTCTGATGACGAGACACCACCGACCGTCGGTTACGCGGCACGGCGAGGATCAGTTCGCCGACAAAACCAAAGTCCAAGCCATCATGGAGTGCAGCATAGGCTCTCCAAAGCTTGGAAACTAGGGAGCCCGTCAAAGTTGCTGTCAAATGTAAAACGCCACAGCCACTTGAGTTCATCCACAAACGAGACAACACGTACGAGTATCCTCTCGTCTGGCGTAAGCAAGGAAGCCACCACTGCGAGTGCGAATGTTGTTACAAAGCCGACAGTGATCCTTATACCCAGTAGACCAGGCGAAGCGCGGCAGGTGAGTAGACGGACGGAGGATTCGGTATCATTCTTCGGTGGTGGTTCCTTAACGAGGTCCCACCGGAACTTTGGGCTGGAAAAGGATACGGCATCGGAACACCCACCTAGGGGAGATCTAGGATTGTCTTCCGGTATCAGAGAGCCCGACGGGGTCCGAGACGGTGCCACGGTCTGGGACCCCTTAGGCATTGCATACCAAGACCTTCAGACGAAGCGCACAACAAAAGAATTGGTTGCAAATCCAGAAAAGCCGCGGATGGGCTCTATCCAAAGTGAAAACTGGAGTACCTACCCCACACATGAATCTCTCATGTCGCCTAGTCGGTGGCCGATACCAGACGCATTCATAGGCCTGGGAGGCACACCTGACGTGTTCCGGAATCCAAACGAGCCGCCTCAAGTCCCGCCTCCCAAACTGCCAGCTACGGCCAAGCTGCCAGGGACGCTGACGCACATAATAAAGAATAGCGCAGGCGGTGCGCGCAGGCCATCGCGCGAGTCCGGCTCCATGTCCTCGCTCTCGCAGACGCCGTCGACAACGCACAAGCGGAGCAAGTCGCGATCGCCCCACGAGGAGCGCCTGCGTATAAGCCGCATCCGCGAGCAGCGGGCGCTCGACGAGTTCCGGGCCATGATGGAATCGCAGACGCCCTCGCCCTCGGGCGAATGGGCCGCACCGCGCGCCGGGCAAGCGCCGGAGACGCCGTCGCGGACGGGCAGAGCGCCGCTGGCTGATCGACCGAACGGGTCCGGGGGGCTCAAGAGCTCCCTCTCGAAGCGGAGCGTCAAGACGGTGCGCAGCGCCAAGAGCGTGCGGAGCGCGTGGGTAGGCGAGGACGACGACGACGCCTGGGAGGACGTGCTACCGCCCCAGTCGATGATAGGGGAGTGGGAGAGAGCGGAAAGCGATGGGAGTTTCCCCGTTTATATCTGAGAATGCGCGGCGGGTTGGTTTGTTTGTGTAATATTTGACCTTATTATACCTGGCTAGAAAGCGCCTGAAGTTTGCAGTTTCGATCAAAACTTCTCTAGGTCAGAGACGGCCTCGACGTGGTTGGGCCAGCCGTAGAAACTTAAACTGTGATATGCAGGTAACTATCTGTGAAGCGTGATTTGGCTTCTTGTGGCTTCGAGGTATATTCGAGATCTCGACGGATCTGGTGGCGCAAGCCACAACGCTACAGAATACCTACCTACCTGCCCGGAGAACCTGGCCATTTGTACCCCAACTCACTGAGGCTCCATGGTTCGGCACGAACAGGGCGGTTTGGCCAGAGCCGGGAGGTGCTGACGTTCGCAATCCTACTCTTGTCCCTTTCAGAGTCTCGCATGGCGTCTCAGCAGTCTGGCAGTATGCGCTCGCTTCCTTTTCTGGGATGCCCTGGGATGCACGGCAGACCGGAGGCGACCCGAGAGCACTGTCATAGGTATCTAGATCAGCACAGCAAACACTCCCTCCTTGCTGCGACTTACTGCCAGCCAGGGTCCAAGGGATCGTCTCATGTAGCTCGA